TATTTGTCTTTATAGTACTTTAATTATTTGTCTTTATTGCATTTAAATGTTCAGTTATTTTTGTTATAAGAAAAAAGTTATTAAACCTGTTATGACAGCATGTTTTTTAAAACTACATTTCAATACCGTGATAATACCGTATACCGTGATAAAAGCATTAGCAATTAATCGCACCATGAAAATTTGATACCGGCATATCCCTATTAGGACATTAAGTAAAGATCATGCTCCATGAAGATATTTTGTACAGCTCCTACCGTAAATATATCAAAACGTAATGTTTGATTAGTAATATGCATTGCTAAGATCTTCATCTAGACAACTTTAAAGATGATTTTCTCAATATTTAGATTTTTTTGCACCCTCAGATTCTCAAATAGTTGCATCTCAGCCAAATATTGTCCTCTCATAACAAACCATACATATTTATATATACAGCATATTCAGATGATTTATAAATCTCACCTTCGAAAAATTGACACTTAAGCTTGGTTTTGTGGTCCAGGCTCACATTTCAGCTCAGTCTAACTATCTATCTGTAAAATAACTACTGAAAACAGGAGAATATAGTAATTCGCAAATGAGAGGAAAACAACATTAAAGCATGTATTAACATCACTGCATGAGGCTGAAGGGCCCACGTTGAAACAATGAGAAACACAGCTAAGACATCGGTGATGAATGCATAGATACAGTCTTGTTTATTGCTGATGACAAGCTAGAATGAGTACATTTACGTTGATTTAGTATATATTTTTAATTCAATGATTTCTGAAGTTTGTTTATATCGGCGCATAGCGTCAGGCCTCAGTCTGTTTTAGCTTCCATGCACTGAAACAGATACCTTAGCAAGGGGACAGACCTTTACCCTACACATATATAATACAATACACCTTAATTGAAGTATATTTATTGTTTAATCTCCTCAGACGTTTATATTTTTTGCAGAGTGAATGCAGCTGCTCGGTTAGCACGTGAGCTAACGCACACACGATGAAATCTAACTGATAATATATATATATATATTTATTTGCACACCAACACGAGACAAACAGCACATTAATACACAAAGCTCGTGTCTTACCTTCAATAAATAGACTCTTTTTATGATTCATATTAGTCCATCCTTTCAAACGGGGTTAATCTCGCGCACTGCACTTAAGAGGCTTCTGTCACTTCAGCACTTAAACATTTCTCATTTGAGTTCACATTGCAATTTAACTCAAACTCTATCTATTGCAAATTATGTCGCCTTGTGTTTTTCAGTCCATCTTCAGTCCAAACGAGCAGAAAAAAACTGGACCAAAGTAAAAAAAATTAAATTTAAAAAATAAAAAAAAATAGCCGTCTGACTGCGGTGTTAAAAGCTTAATAACTCACAAAGATAATTAAGCGAGCAGTGTGAGAGACTTGAAATGCATTTAGTAAAACAAGACATTTTGTGAAACTCTGAGCGGTTAAAAGTGCATTATTCTGCAGCATGAAGCGCTATTGAGTCACTTCCGCCAAGACTTCTGTGCAATATTTGTCAAATGTCGTAAATGTAATCTATTTGCAAGTGCTTTGGCATATTCTGCTTACATATCAGTATTTATCTAGAATGCAGTGGCCATGCTGTTTTCTTAACTCATGAATAACAACAAAAAAATTAAATCCTAAATATTTAGCCATAAGGATGTAAACCCTGTAAATAATACCACCACGAATTCCATGCAAGTAGAAAAGAACTGAAAGTCTGGAGAATACTAACTTACAAATAATGGATGCATATTTCTGTTTACCAATGGCCAGCTATGATTTGGGATGCATAATTGTCAAAACTCCTGTCTCAGGTGCCATGTTTAGGGATGATATGCAAAGTAGCATTTTTTATTTTTCATCTAAAATACTTAAAAAAAGAAAAATCTGGTTCTGTGTACACTGCACGCTGAAGAAAAAGTGCATCAATGGCCATATTAGTTTATATATCACATAAAGTGGGTGTGCGATCACAAATCGG